AAATCAAGGAGAAACAACGTAGTTATAAATTTCAACAAATAACATGCATTTATATATGTTTGATATATACATAAAGTGAATTTTAAGATTGCTTGTTCAATGTGATAAGTGAGATAAATTTGTAAGGAGTGACCATGCAGTGATTTGGTGTATGAAAGCTTGTAGTTAAAGTTTGTCTATAAAATTAAAACAGTTTGATTTCTGCAAGGTGAAATGTCACTTGTGTGGGTTCAAATATTAGTGTGTATGTGTGCGACAATTGTAAATTTTGTTTAAAGTCATAAGGAGTTATGTGCCTTTGACTGATATGATGTAAGTTGACTAAATACAATTACTACATCAGTAGTGATAATGTCACTTTTTCTAGTAAATTATAAGTTGGGTCAATTCACGCGGCAAGACTTTCTGAGTTGTGTTGAGCTGCTGAGAGAGAGACGGAGAGAGAGAGACGGAGAGAGAGAGTGGCGGTTGTTGAGTCAGTGTGCTGGCGCGCGTGGAGTTTGTTGGCATCTCTTGCAACTTAGTTACTGACTGCTTGAATCAAGTCAAGTGATTGTATTTATTGACTTTTTGGATTTCAAACCGGCTCCAGATAGGTGAGCAGGAAAACAGATTTGTCGCAACTTGCTACATTTTTGGGGTCCTTTTAACCAATGAGAAGTCACGTTTGAAAAAGTGAAGTGATGATTGGTTAAAGTTGATTTAGGGGAAGAGTGCATTTTCCCTCAGGGGTGACAGGTAAATATGGAGGATTCCATAAAATTAATAACAACCTCAATGTTTAAGCCTTAAGCTTTGCAGAAATCAAAAACAGGGATAGCAACTCAAATACTAATAGCCATTTAAAATGACGCTTTTAGGCATGATGGTGTAATGGATAGAGGCTCGGATTGAGTTCAAAATCCAGTTGAATCCATTACATTCACTTACATGCTAATACTCTTCTTCTCCCGCCAGAAATAGCAGGACAGACCGGGTTCTATAGCCCTGGATGTCAACCGGTCTACCACAGAAAGAAACATACTGCAGGGAAAAATCTGCCTCGGCAGTCATGTATCAAAAGATACATATCACCTAAGCATTTATCACACATAGCACATAACTGACTGACTGAAGAAACAAGGTTAAAAGTAATAAATTGGAGAGACTCTTCGCGTGCAAGAATTGTCCTGATTTAAAATTTTGTCATCAATTTGAAAACTTTTTTTTGGTTTTGTTTTTTATATTTGTTTTTTGGAGATGTTCATCTTACTTAGTCATATTGTTGAGGGTCCAGGTGTATGCGTTGTGAGATGGACATGCATCTCCTGAAATGTCCATACCAAACATGGCGGACTCGTACTCTGAGTCCACCATGTTCACCTAATGAGTACAAGTTCACCTAATGAAATATAAAGAAGCAACAAGAACCGATATATCTGTACAAACAAATGAATATGGTTATTTTCTAAGTGCAGCTTAGATGTAGCACAAGGCCGAAAATACGGAGCACCTAGTGAGGATCGAACTCATTTTTCAGTCGTAACTGATCTAGCAAGACAAGCTTGCTAACCTTTACACCACGCCGAAGTACCCTATAGTGATTTTCCAAACATAACTCAGATGTGGCACAAGGCCCAAAATATGGGACGCCCAATGAGGATCGGACTCACTACTTAGTTGTAATTGTTCTAGCAAGATAAGCTTACTAACCATTACACCACCTCAAGGTGCCCAAACAAATGAATATGTATTAACAACAGAAGGTTACAAGTGACAAAGACAATAATGTGTGTAACAAATGAATGTGGAAACTTTTTGGTCCAAAGTGTGTGTGTGTGTATGTATTGTTCATGCATTTCACATGGTGTGAAAAATGCAATCTTCCATGAGAGATTTACATTGTTGTCGTATAAGTGGAATAGTAAGTAGAGAGAGAGAAAATATTATCACAGAGTATTTATAGTGTTGGAGAGCAACCCCTAGTAATGGTTTTGGATATTAGAATGAAAGAACCTGACAATATTACCAAATATGGTTTCACAACACACAACCAATTAAAAGGCACATATTTCGCCCAGTAACCTTTAAAGAGATATTAATTTGTAGAGGACCGGCTGGTTTTGAGTCTTGTTTTATTAGAAACACGTGTGTAACTCCTGGTAGAATATTAAAAGGTCCAACTACAAGAAAAATGGCGGACTTGAATTAAGTCCTACTGAAGACAAACAAGACTGATATATATATATATATATATATATATATATATATATATATATATATATATATATATATAAAAAACAAATATATGTATTAACAACAATTTTACAATGGACATAGACAGTTAACATTTGTGTTTGTATAAACATTTCTGTTTGTTCTTTGGGGAATGTTCATATTTTGGTGATTGTTTGTACGTACATGTATGTTTGTAATGTTCATAGCGTCTTCCCAGAAGTGGGAAACACTGTCTTTTGCGAGAGCTCACATTGTAGTGGTGTTCGCTGAAATGAAGAAAGAAGAGAAAGAGGCAAGAAGTTTCCCAGTATTTAGTATAGGAAGAATGACCCCTAGTGAAGAATTTGGGAATTAAGGAGGAGCTAACTCTGACAAATTCAGGATCAACATTTTCAACAGCATCATTTACCACATTCTGTCGATTACTAACATTTTCATTCATTCCTTACTAATCCTTTGCTTTCTAATTTTTAAAAGTATTTCTATAGGCAATAAAACTCTGTTGTGACACCATCCTGGGTAAGAATAGAAACAACATCTATGTCCTGGGTAAGACGATAAACTACATCCGACAGCAAGGCCTTTAATCGGGAAGTTTTGAGGATCATGGAACTGCTGATGTCCCCTGGTCCACCCTGACCCAGAGTGGCAACACCTGTTTGGGTCCCAGCTATGGGTAAATAGTTAACGCCAAACTAGGTTCAAAACACTATAAAAGTGTAAAAATAGGTTTTAATAACAGATATACATTTTCAAAAAAAAAAAAAACATTATTACCAGCAGCACACTTTTGAAAAAATATTACAAGCAATAAAAATCTTGTCGGCATTAAATAACCCATTGAGATTGATATACCGTAAAACAAAATAAATCAAACCAAACCAAACCTGTTGTGACAAGAAAATTAGTTACAGTTCATGCCCATCTAAAAAGCCAGAGATTTTTTGAATGCTGATTTTCTAGGCAAGCAAACTCTCCCCACTTGAAAGATTGACACAATCTGTATCCACCTTCACTTAGCCTTGTGTCATACTGGGTAAGTTTTTTTTTTTTATGTGTCAAATGTTATAATGTGGAGATGGTTACAATGAATGTTCTTTGTGTGAACTGCACACCCGTTGTTTCCCCATGAACACATTTGTATCTAATTGATATTGCAATAAAGAAATTCCCAGTTAGTCGTACTGTAATGATCTTCCAATATGCATCACTCACAATGACTTTCACTTGACACTCTTCAATTGACCACAGGCAATACTCAATTGTGAATCTTAACTTTCAACCAAACGGTAGCATTGATGCCACCTCTTGCCTGGAAACACTCAATTCAACAAAAAAATGGTAGTAGTCAATAAAAAATGTCCAGATTGATTTGAACTCCTTACTTATATGAGGGTGAGTCAAAAAGTAATGCAATTTGTCTTATTATGTAAGAAATAAGGAACATAATCTAGCATAGCATATATCAAGATACATCTAGACATCACAGGTTCACATCCCTAATTTTCAACATAATCACCACCTCATTCACTGGAAATGTTCTATCTGTGAATGAAGACATGTACCTCAGTTTGCTGCTGATATAGCCAATTCCATACAGCTGTTTTTGCTTCTTCATCACCATGTGTTCCTCTTTTATTGAAAAAAAAAAAGAGTTGGAATATTGAGGATGCTAAATCAAAAATGGCACATCCTTGAAAGATTTCTGTTGGAGCAATACCATTAATATGCACCAACAAAGAATGAAACAATTTCCAGTTCAATATGACACATACTAATAATTATGAAATCAACATTCATGATTCAGTTTTATTTGTTAACCAAAGCTACAAAGAAAATCAACATTAGAAACAGAAAAAAGTGTAAAAAGGTTACTAAGTAAAACAAGGAAACCTTTAGCAAAAATAATTGTTTTTATTATATATATTTTACATATAGAAAATTTCTTATACAAAATAGATATATCACTTCACAGATATTATACAGTGTGCACCAGAAATACCTCCCACATAATGGTAAGACATTAGCTAAAGGCTGTGGCAGAAAATACCTCCCACATTTTAAACTGTCACCCATTTGGTGATAGCGAAGTTAGGCAAGTGATTAGCCATGGTCAAATGCAAAATAAACAACAGAACTCTCCAACAAATAGAATTAACAAAGTTTGCAATAAAAAAGGAACAGGGTAAAAATGAAATAATAACAAGCAAGCAAATAGAAGCCACCATTTGAAGGATGTCATTTTTAAAACTCAAAGAATACAAACTGTAGCCTTTTGTTTAACCAACAGCAAAATAATTTTTTTAATAGCAGTTACATTGATCTTTTTGTTAACCTTTAAAATCTAGGAGGTATTTCTGCCGCAGCCTATATTACTAAAAGTATTAAAATTTTTTCCTCCTCCAATATAACATTCACACACTTTATTACAAAAAATTTGTTAGCATTCTTGATTCCTGCTGATTAGGGATTAGAAGAAATAAAAGTAAAGCTAACTTCAAATTTAGTTGGAGTTGGGTTAAATTCAGAATAGTCTCCCCTAATTAGTTATATTATTAGAATCTAAATAAGAAACAACTTGAACTTAACAAGCACTCTTGGTAGCCTTTTTAGTTAATATTAAATATAAAAATGTTCTTTATTAAAATATTACAACAAAACTTCATATTTTATGATGTATAAAAAACATTTCAGAAAAGTTTCAATACTTTTACATCACATTCTGTTATCATTCATCATAAACTATTCACTTATCACTCAAAAAGACTTTCCATCACAACTGCTCAACATGCAACATAGTGGGAATCCGTACTTCTGATGATGTCGCTATTCATTTCCAGCTGGTCAAGACAATAACGAACTGAAGACATACCCACATCTGCATAGCGTAGAGTTTTTTTGATTTCAGAAAACACCCTCATGACGTGACAGCCTTTCTCAGCATCTTTCAAGAAAAATAAAGAAAATCAATTGCACTATAAGCAAAATAATGACATGTTAAATGCTACAATCAACAACTGATATAGTTGCATGTTTCCTTTGGTGTCAGAGGTCGAAATTTAAGCCCAGGTTTAAAAAAAAAAAAAAGATTTTAAATGTTGATTTTCAAGGCAGGTATGCCCCCTTCACTTTGAAGAGTGGCTCAACACGATCTTCCTAACACAACTTAGTTTAGTATTATATAGGCCTTTCTAATAACTAATAATGCAGTTTCTTTAGAAATTACTTATACTATACATACATACACATATATATATATATATATATATATATATATTATGTTAATAAATATACAAATACCTATGTTCAAAGAGCAACTTAAAGTTTTATTGTTCAATCAATTCATCAGGCACGAATTTTTACAAAGAAGAAAGCAGTTTTGTTTACACCTTATATTAAAATGAGTAAATATTTATTCATTTATTTGTGTACACACTTATATATGGTTGCTAATATTTAATTATTTGATTTATCCACATTAAATATATATATATGTATATATATATGTTTTGAGACATGTTTCGTCTACTTATTCTTGATAGGATCCTTTCATATTCATAGATAAGCTTTTTTATGTGATAATTGAAAGACAGGAGGAAACCACCATGTTGATACATATCGTATTTATTTATTGAGTACTTTCAACATAGCACAATGTCATCATCAGAGTATTATTAATTACAGGATAAGTATTGTAGTGTTCATTGTTGTGAAAGACAAAAATTGTTGTGATCATCTGAAAATTAAATTTCTTATATGTGGAGTGAGGAGTGCTGTGTCATGGCATGGCTACAGAACACCATTTAAGGGGAAGTAACTAGGTATGTTGTGGAGAGATTTTACAAAGCGAGCATTAGAAAAAAATAATGGACAGAACTATTAGTACAAACCTTGCCATTTCAAACTATCTATTGTACATGTTTTAAAATGTTTGTTGAGTATTCATATGATGACATTGTGCTATGTCGAAAGTATACGGTAAATATATACAATATGTATTAACACGTTTTTTTATAAATACAATATATATTAACACAGTGTTTTCTTCTCATCTTTCAATTATCACATAAAAAAGCTCATCCATGAATATAAAAGGATCCTATCAAGAATAAGTAGACAGAACATGTCTAAATTATTCAATGAAACATGTCTCAATGAAAATATGCTGCCAAAATATATGCATATATATAAATATATATAATAAAAAAGTTAAAGGTCAGAGTTGAATTAGGAAACAATAGTATTAAAAAGTGCTCAATACACATATAAAAAGATAAAAATTTAATATGTAAAGCTTTTAAGTAAAGAAAATTAGGAAACCAGCCGATTCCGTTACCTTGGTTTCAGTTTTTCAGTATCTTCAGGTGATTTCAGTCAGTTGAATTCCTAACACTTTATTTTTTAAAAATAAAAAGTTTTATGAACACTATATTTAAAAAGAATATATAAATAAATAAATGAATGAATGTGCACAATGTGAGAAAATTTTCCCCTCCTCCTTCCTCTTTTCCTCATCTTCTACTACACCTCACATCGTGTACTTATTCATTTATTTTTTTTTTTCTAAAAATATAGTGTTCAAAAAATTTTTTATTTTTAAAAAATAAAGTCCTGCTAAGGGAAGCTCAATAAGGGAAAAGAAACTTGCTTACAAGAAAGTACTTACATATATTTTGACATTTTTCTTTCTGCAATAGTTTTAAGATAAATGCAGACATTTCAGAATCTGGCAAAAGTAAAGACTGAAAAAAAAAATGAAATACACATAGATATACATGTGCAAAAATTCAAGAAATAAATAAAATATATCTGTAAAGACATGATAAATAAAAAAAAAAGAAAACATTTTATGTCAGTACATTTCATCCCTTGATGGTCTATCTCTCTCTCTCTCTCTCTATATATATATATATATATATATACACACACACATATATATATATATATATACCCACTGTTATATTTACATATGCTCCATCCCTAAAATTGAGTACTTTAAACCATAAATATTGCCCACCTTAAAAGTATATATATATATATATATCAGATTTAAGAAACATTGAAAAAGAAAAAATTGGAAAATACCATTTAAAACCACAACCTCTGAAGACTGGAAATTTTAACAAGAAACATCGATGTTGGGACAAAATTGATATTTAAAAGCCAAGTAATCTTTTCGTATAATATTATTATATGTTATATCACAGGTTGTTGGGATGAAAAAAAACAAACGAAAATAAAAGAAGTTTATTTTAACACCTAATAAAATAACTTTTATTCATTTACCTTCTGAGAACAGCGAGGATTTGTTTAGGATTGAAACCATAAATTCCATGTGTGTATCAGCTTGTCACCATGTTTAATTTAAAAGTGCCGCACTTGTTTTCCAGACAAGGGAAGTAACTCAATTGTATTTTGAGTTACTGTCCTTTACAGGCTTCCCATAATTATATATATATATATATATATATATATATATATGAACAAATATAGTCTTAAGATGTGCTATATTTATGGAATAAAGTGCTCAATATCAGAGATAGAGTATTTTAAGACATTTTTACGTTTATACATTCTTTTTATAGATACAAATATTTAAGTAAATGCTCTGTTTATAATAAACAGTATTAAACAACATTTACTGGCCTGAATGTCTGAGATATTTTCATAGAAAATATTCATCCTCTAACAGGAACTGAACCTGTATCCTATACAGAACCGTCATATAGCCTGACGTGCCTTTAACCGATTGCACCACAGAGGAGCGTTCGGTTAGAAAGGTCGATTTTACTGTCTTTAAACTACAATTCTCCATGATTTTCACACATACATTCATATCTGCTCATGGTATATCCATATGTAAACAAATGACGTCACACATTATGAAATGGACAAAGTCCGACAATTATTTTAAGACATTTTTATGTTTATACATTCTTTTTATAGATACAAATATTTAAGTAAATGCTCTGTTTATAATAAACAGTATTAAACAACATTTACCGGCCTGAATATCATGTCCAAGAAATTTTCATAGAAAATTTCTTGGACATTCAGGCCAGTAAATATTGTTTAATACTGTTTATTATAAACAGTTTTGTCTACTTATTTTTTAATAGTATCCTCTCATAATTACAAATTTTTTAGTATCCTCATTAAAGGAAGAAAGAAAATTATCATGTTGATGCAATTTTCTTTATTCCTGGTTAATGGACAACGGCTGAGAATAGATAATTGGAGAGCCAAGTTCCAATTCCCATTGGGCTCAGTATATTAACTTAAGTGCAAATATTCTTGGGAAAGGTAAGAACCCACATCTTCTCCCCACCCATCTCTAGATTAATTAATAAGACTTGCATCACTAAACCATTATCATCACAAAAATTAAGGAAAAAATTTTTTTTATACTCTAAAAATATTTTCTGGGTTTAAATAGCCTGTAAAGTGTTGATAAAGAAAATGAATCAATCAAGCAACCATTCTTTGGGCTGCTTTTATTGTTAGAGCAAACTTTAACTTTCACACCTGCAAAAAAAACTAATAAACAAAATCAGTGTAAAAAAAGGACGGTTTTTCCCTTAACACTGCTATTATTTTATACTATCTTCACTTACTCAGCAATGTTTATTTGCAAGTTTATAATACAGTGTAACCCGGATATAAGAGAGTTGTCAATCCGGGTTTGGCCTATTTTATATACATTAACACAGGCTCTAATTTGGGAACAGAGAAAAATTCTTATATCCGGGTTTGGTCTATTTTATATAATTAACACAGGCTCTAATTTGGGACCAGAAAAAATCTCTCTTATATCCGGGTTTGGTCTATTTTTTATATACATTAACACAGGCTCTAATTTGGGAACAGAGAAAAATCTCTTATATCCGGGTTTGGTCTATTTTATATACATTAACACAGGCTCTAATTTGGGAATAGAGAAAAAAAATCTCTTATATCCGGGTTTGGTCTATTTTATATACATTAACACAGGCTCTAATTTGGGACCAGAGAAAATCTCTCTATATCCGGGTTTGGTCTATTTTATATACATTAACACAGGCTCTAATTTGGGACCAGAGAAAATCTCTCTTATATCCGGGTTTGGTCTATTTTATATACATTAACACAGGCTCTAATTTGGGAACAGAGAAAATCTCTCTTATATCCGGGTTTGGTCTATTTTATATACATTAACACAGGCTCTAATTTGGGACCAGAAAATCTTCTTATATCCGGGTTTGGTCTATTTTATATACATTAACACAGGCTCTAATTTGGGACCAGAGAAAATCTCTCTTATATCCAGGTCTCTTATACCTGGGCTACACTGTAATGTTACAATGCAATATTTATTGTTTATCATTTTATAAAGAATAAATTTGAAAAAGAAACTTTTTATTGAAAAATTTTTTTTTAAAATTATCAAAATATGTTCTACAATTATTTATTATTTATCATTGTATAAATACAGTGTAACCCGGATATAAGAGAGTTGTCGGGACCGGAGAAAAGTCTCTTATATCCATGTTTGGTCTATTATATATACATTAACATAGGCTCTAATTTGGGACCAGAGAAAATCTCTCTTATATCCGGGTTTTCTTATATCCGGGTTTGGTCTATTTTTTATATACATTAACACAGGCTCTAATTTGGGAACAGAGAAAAATTTGGTTTGGTCTATTTTATATACATTAACACAGGCTCTAATTTGGGAACAGAGAAAATCTCTCTTATATCCGGGTTTGGTCTATTTTATATACATTAACACAGGCTCTAATTTGGGAACAGAGAAAATCTCTATATCCGGGTTTGGTCTATTTTATATACATTAACACAGGCTCTAATTTGGGACCAGAGAAAATCTCTCTTATATCCGGGTTTGGTCTATTTTATATACATTAACACAGGCTCTAATTTGGGACCAGAGAAAATCTCTCTTATATCCGGGTTTGTTCTATTTTATATACATTAACACAGGCTCTAATTTGGGACCAGAGAAAATCTCTTATATCCGGGTTTGGTCTATTTTATATACATTAACACAGGCTCTAATTTGGGACCAGAGAAAATCTCTCTTATATCCGGGTTTGGTCTATTTTATATACATTAACACAGGCTCTAATTTGGGGACCAAAAAATCTCTCTATATCCAGGTCTCTTATACCTGGGCTACACTGTAATGTGAACCAAATACAATGCAATATTTATTGTTTATCATTTTATAAAGAATAAATTTGAAAAGAAACTTTTTTATTGAAAAATTTTTTTTTTAAAATTATCAAAATATGTAAACCATCTACAATGCAATATTTATTATTTATCATTGTATAAATACAGTGTAACCCGGATATAAGAGAGTTGTCGGGACCGGAGAAGAAGTCTCTTATATCCATGTTTGGTCTATTATATATACATTAACATAGGCTCTAATTTGGGACCAGAGAAAATCTATAAAGTTTGGTCTATTTTATATACATTAACACAGGCTTTAATTTGGGACCAGAGAAAATCTCTCTATATCCGGGTTTCTCTTATATCCGGGTTTGGTCTATTTTATATACATTAACACAGGCTCTAATTTGGGAACAGAGAAAATCTCTCTTATATCCGGGTTTGGTCTATTTTATATACATTAACACAGGCTCTAATTTGGGACCAGAGAAAATCTCTCTTATATCCAGGTCTCTTATACCTGGGCTACACTGTAATGTGAACCAAATACAATGCAATATTTATTGTTTATCATTTTATAAAGAATAAATTTGAAAAGAAACTTTTTTATTGAAAAATTTTTTTTTTAAAATTATCAAAATATGTAAACCATCTACAATGCAATATTTATTATTTATCATTGTATAAATATTGGATATAAGAGAGTTGTCACCGGAGAAGAAGTCTCTTATATCCATGTTTGGTCTATTATATATACATTAACATAGGCTCTAATTTGGGACCAGAGAAAATCTCTCTTATATCCGGGTTTGGTTTATTTTATATATCACAGGCTCTAATTTGGGGACCAGAGAAAATCTCTCTTATATCCGGGTTTCTCTTATATCCGGGTTTGGTCTATTTTATATACATTAACACAGGCTCTAATTTGGGAACAGAGAAAATCTCTCTTATATCCGGGTTTGGTCTATTTTATATACATTAACACAGGCTCTAATTTGGGACCAGAGAAAATCTCTCTTATATCCGGGTTACACTGTAACTATGAAAACAAGTTTTTTACTGATAATTTTATAAAAAAAAATATCAATAAATTCCTGCATGAAAGAAATGCCTGGAAAATACATTTTTTCAAAATTTAAAATGACACTCATTTGTTATCTGTTTATTTAAATTTTCATTTTTGAAAGACATTTTTTATAAATTTATGAAAAAAACAATTGTATTCTTATTTATTTCTTTATCAACTGGTAACGGATAAACATTGCATTGTATTATCTGTCTATATTATCATTATTTACATTATTCAGACTGTTCTCCTCATCTGGCCTTCTTCATTTTATTTCTTTATTTCATCCACCATGGTAGATTGTTCTAGTTCCATGTGCCATGCCTCTTCTGTCTCAGTTATTAATTTTAATTCCACTCTCCAAGCTTTTGGTTTACCACTGCTGTGGCTTGGTATTTATCCACTGTGCCATGTGTCCTTGAGAATATCTGTGTATGAATTTCTGGGACTTATAAACCTAATGTCTCAGAAACATTTTTTTACCAGTGCTCATATTGCAATTTTGTTGTTGTTCATTGCTTTTCTCTAGCATTCATTATTACTGGTTCCCATATTGTATTAATATCTATGCTTAGTCAGCTCAGAAGATTTTTGTGGCCTAGCATATGTGCTGATTCCTGAAGTTTTTTTTATTTTCCAGTGATGCTCTCTATTATTTCAACTTCATCCCACAGGGGGCAGTGATCTCCCTTTTCTCTCCATGTGTGGTCAGCTATGCCTGATTTTTCTATTTCCCCTTGTGTTACCACTTTACGATGTTCTACCAGTCTTACCTTAAGAGGGCAGACAGTTTCTCATTTGTATTTATTACCACAGCTGCACGGGATGGCATACGCACAATCCTTAGTCATGTTCTCCTTTATGGGAGGGGGTCTTACTCAGAAGAGGTGTCTGCAAAGTGTTGAACCACTTTTGAAGATTTTCCTGATATTATATGAACCACAGATCCTTTGTATTTTCTCCGATAATCCCTTCACACAGGGTAGGCAGACTAAAGCAGTTTTCTGAGTGCTGTTATCATCTTGTACCCTCCTATCCCTGTTTGTTGCAGCTGCTGACATGTCCCCAGGGTAGTTGTTACATTGTAGGGTACTGCTTATAATGACCATTTCTTTGATCATATGTTTCTAGGCTGCCACTTATGACTTTTGTTCAATGTTGTAAACAGGGGACGATACCCTTTCTTTACACTGTATTACATTGTGTTAGTTGGTTTGCAGATTTAGAAAGTTGGAGATATAAAAATTATTCTTGTAAATAAGTAATCTAATAAATAAATTTAATATTTTTGTTGTAAATTCTCAAGAACAAAAATAAATAAATTCACTTTCATATGTTTCGTTTTATTAAAATTTTAATCCTCATTTTTTAAAACGGAAAACATTGCCGAGGGAGTGAAGGGAGTTAAAATAATAGTGGTGTCAAGGGAAAAACCATACTTTTGATACACTATTTTTGTTTGTTTGCAGGCACAACAATTAAAGACTGCTATTGTTATCATTGGGTTTCAACTGATCTATTCTACAGCTTTCTTCAAAATTTGTAGTGTTACTGACCTTTTTCAAAATTATGTACAAAATAATTTTCTATGAAACAAGTAAGTTGAAAATAAACAATAATTTTTCCATTGTACTTCTAATGTTCAATTTATAAACTTGATTATAAACTGCTGTTTCAACTGAAGATATGTAGTCATTTATGGAAACAGCAGTTTTAAAAAGCTACAAGATTTTTTTAAACATGTTGACACATGTTGAAATCTTCAGTATTTAGTACTGTTTTGTCAAGATTTACAAACTATATATTTTGCTCAATTTCACAAACCAATCGTTTTTTTTTAAATTTTCATTAATTTTTTTTTAAATTAATAAAGATTTATTGTACTAATCTACACACTATAAAAACCAACTGTACTTTGTACTCCTTTAACTGTTTGCAATTCTCCCCAAAATTTGGTTTTGCTCAGTCAATGTGTGGCTATTTGACTGGGTGTGACAGACAGATGGAATAGCGGAAGTCATAAAATTTATATATATATATATATATAGAGAGAGAGAGATACACAATTATCCAAAAAACAAAAGAAAATACTAAAGAAAAACATTTGCAAAATGTCAAAAGTTTTTACTTTCACTCATATTTGAAAAGTACTTTTGGCTTTTATGAAAGTAGAAAAAATGTCACTGCAAAAAGAAATTAAAAAGTTAAATAAAATGTCAAATAGCAAAAAAAAATAAAATTAGTTAATGGTATATTTTTTTAACTACCTTTAACTGATTATTTTTTTAAAAAATGAATTTAAAATGTCAAAAAAGTCAGAGAAAATATCAAAAATGAGAAAAAATTAAAAGTTAAATTTCTTCAAGTGATCATGTTGCAAATTTTCAAAGATCAGATTTTTATTTAATTGAAATGTCAATCATCATCTATCCTTTTGAATCCTGTTCTTTCTATTGTCCTTTCTCCTCAATAAAATTTTCTTACTTTCTTTCACACTCAATGACTCCTTATGCCTTACAGACTTTTGCTTGTGTTGAAATGATTAAAACAAAAAATTATCAACAAAAACTTATAAAAATGTAATTTGTTTGTTGTTGAAATAAGATAACTTACCTCATAAGTATGTTTCTTGTCTCTGCGCCGACAGATTTCCCCAGTTTTCACCATCGCTTCAACAGCCATTGCCAAGATTTTTTGAGGATCAGAAAATTGCTTTTAGAAATATCAAAATATATATATATATATATATATATATATATATATTGATGCATGTTTCATTAAATAATATAGACAAGTTTTGTCTATTTATTTTAAGTAAGTTCCTTTCATATTGTCTGATAAGCTTAATAGCATTATCATTGAAAGATGAAAGGAAATCACTATATTGATACATGTTTAAATCCGATCTAAGCTTTTAACTTACATAAGCCATTATCAAAGATGACAATTACATTTCAATATATCAAACAATATACGGACAAAACAATAATGATCGTCTGTTTTTGATGCATGAAAAATTTCAAAGCAAAAACAAACTCGTGTATACAAGGCGCGGAAGTGAAAATCACACCGCAACTCATGACGTCACACATGACCACACAAGAGTGAAAACGAGAAGTATTAAGTATGGGAAGCCATTGGTATAAACCAATGGCTTCTGTTATCAATTATAGGCATTTAAAAATATTTGTGGAGATTTCGTAGTTTATTTTGTTCAGGTTAGGTTTCAACTGTTTTATATATAGAATTCAAGAATTTTTAGTTTTTGTTTATTGTTTTCATGTTTAAGTATAGTTGTGTTTTCAACAAGGATTTTCTGGAATTGAGTACGCAGCCAGGCATGTTGTTTTAAATGCCTAAAAATGTTAGAGTTATCATTCAAATATAGAGTCATTCTTAAATCCCTATAATTAATAATAGAAGCCATTGGTTTATACCAATGGCCTCCCATACTTAAACACTTCTCGTTTTCACTCTTGCGTAGTCATGTGTGACGTCACGAGCTTCGATGCAATTTTCGTTTCTGTGTCTCGTATACACGAGTTTGTCATTGCTTTGAAATTTTTCATGCAACAAAAACAGACGATCATTATTGTTTCGTCCGTGTATTGTTTGATATATTGAAATGTAATTGTCATTTTTGATAATGGCTTATGTAAGCCGAAAGCTTAGATAGGATTTAAACATGTATCAATACGGTGATTTCCTTTTGTCTTTCAATGATAATGTTATTAAGCTTATCAGACAATATGAAAGGAACTTACTTAAAATAGACAAAACTTGTCTATATTATTTAATGAAAAATTGCTGCCTAAATATACACAATATATATATATATATATATATATATATATATATATATCAGATTCAAAATTTTCCTATTTGACAATTTGCAGTTCAATTTTTCTTGTTTGATATCCTCATAAATTTTAAGCATTAAAAAGTAAGAGGCACAATTAAGGTTGGGGAAAATAACAATTAACCCTAGACTTGAACAGGTTAAGATTGTAGTGATCAGGGATATTATTTGTAGCAAACAAATAAGACCAAATTAATGAGTGCTTGTAAATGAGACATTTAATCTTTCAAATAAAGAAGGCTATTTTTCTTTAAAAAAAAAAAAAAAAAACTGAAAAGGGCAATCTTTAACTTTTATATGCCTGCAAAAAAATTTTCTGTCAAAAAGATGGTTTTTCCCTTAATACTGCTATTATTTTAACTACCTTCACTCCTCAGCAATGTTTATTGTTTTAAAAGGCAATGACTAGAATGTTAATAAAACCTAAACATATGAAAGTGAATTTATACATTTTCTTTGTTCTTGAGAACTGAATTGAATTAACATTTTTTTTTAATCATTTCACCTCAAGCTAGATGAAAATGCCACTAGTACACAGGGGATTACAGGGAGTGAAAGAAAAGACTAATAGATGTTTATAAATTTATGAATATAAAATCATTTTCAGATTTAATTTTTTATAAATTGGTAAATGATAAATATCGCATTGTATTAGTTTTAATACAAATGTATTAGCTTTTAGAAATCTCTAAATATAAAATTATTTTTCTTTAAAATAAACAATCTTATAAACAAATAGTATTTAATATTTTTGTTGAAAATTTTCAAGAACAAAAAAAATGTATAAATTTATGTTCATCATGTCTGGGTTTTATTACAATTCTAATCATCAGTTTTTAAAACAATAAATATTGCTGAGGAGTGAAGGTAGTTAAAATAATAGCACAGTGTCAAGGAAACAAACCATCCTTTTACCTTTTTTTTAAGGAAAATAGTCTTCTTTATTAGGAAGACTGCACCCGCCTCACCCTCATCAATTTGGTCTTATTTGTTTACCATTAATAATATCCCTGATCGCCACAATCTTAACCTGTTTATGATTCCTCAATTACTTACTCTGTAACACTCTACCTCAAGTTGCTCTTGGGCCTTGTTCAATAAAATTTATGAGGTAGTTAAAATAATAGCGGCAACAAGGGAAAAATACCATCTTTTTCACATATCATCTTTTGTGGGCACAAAGGTTCAAAACTGCCCCAAAAAATCATGGCTCTCCATAGTTTCCTTTTCTTTAATATATGCAAAGATTGTTCTTGAGTATGGTTGGAGGCTGGTTTTCTGTCACCTTTGCCACAGTTTATATTCGGAGTTCTTCTTCCTTTGATGAAGCATTGCCGTTCTTTTTTTAGCCTTTCATCTTATTTTTATTCCTTGTGTACACCTTTATGTGAAATATAAGGTGTTTGTGCCTCAGCACAGTTTCTTGTTATTTGTTGCTCCCCCCACCACACCCACAGACACAAACACACACCTTACTCCCCTCCCTTTTCATTGTGGTTCTTGTCATGTAGGTCACTAAAGTTTCTGCCTCTAACTTCTCTTGCCTTTAGTATACATTCACAAGAGAACGAAACATAAAAATGTTATCACAGCAAGAAAATTTTCTCAACTGTGGAACTCTCTTCCACTTTCTTTCTTCCTTGCAATCTTCAAAGATTTAAATACAACTAGCAGTAGAGCAAGACGTTGCCCGGGGATGTAACAGTAAGAAATAGATCAAGTATCGACCATCATAAAGACTGAAAAATAAAATTGACAAAGATTATTGTTTAAGGTTGACGGACACGCATGTCTTAATTAGTTTTTTTTTTGTTTTGTTTTTGTTTTTTTAGAATTGGTCAAACCCAAACTCAAACAAAAACATTGTTTTCAATCGTTATGAGTCTACCGATTGAATAGAATTTTATTATAAACAATTGTCTTGTAAATGGAATTTTTAAAGCATTCTGAATGTAAAAATAAAGAAAAAAGTGTGCAAGACAATAAGAAACACTACCTGCAAAAAAAAAAAAAGTGAAGTTTTGTTGAAATCGGTTGAAAAATGTAGGAAATCCGATCCCATATATAAACAAACACACACAAACAACCTGGGTTTTATAAGTATAACTCGATATGAGTTGTCCCCCTTTCATTCTCACGATGCCTCTTAATCGTGTTTTCAAATTGATTTTGTGCAAAAACAATTGTATTTTTCCAATTTTTGGCGCTGTCAGAACCACCGCAAGGTAATTTTACATAATCCTGTGAAGTTTTGTTGAAATCGGTTGAAAAATGTAGGAAATCCGATCCAATATATAAACATACAGACACACACAACCTGGGTTTTATAATAAGTATGATGCCAATCACCATCTTGAGTCTTCCTGAAGCTGTTCTTTTATTGTCCTTTCTCTTCATCAAATTCTTCTCATTCTCTTTTACTCCCAGTAACGTCTTGCGTCTTAGTGATATTATCATTTTGCTAAGGGTGAAATGATTAAGAATCAGGCAATCTAGAATAATTCTTTACATCTTGAATTTTCTTCCTACTACTTATCTTGGATTGTTTTCTACTTTATAATATTCCTCTTATCCTGTGTATAAAAATCTAATGAGGATAAGGATACTAGTCAGAATCAACCACAAACAATGAATAAACACTTTGTCTTCCAAACTTCTAACAAAATAATTCTTACCTGGTCTATGCTAGAATTCTCCAAGACAGCAGAATGTAGTTCTTTATCTTGTAAAATTTCATTGACATCAAACAATTTTATCTGTTTTTCTCTCAGGTAAAGTTTCAATGTAGCCGTCAAATCATCAATCATTTTTTTCTGGAGACAAAAAAAAAATTACAAAATTTTCCTGACTTCCACAATTTCCATTTAAATGCAGCTCAGTTTCATTAACCAATTACCTGCCATGAATCCCATTTGGGGATCTGTTAAAATTAAACTCACTACATGTTATTCCTTGTATTTACATTAAATTGCTTACATACATTGCATTTGCAGAGGTATATTTTACAACACTTAGCCGTAAGAAGACACTTTCTGTCGTAATTTTACATTTCCTGAATAGAAAAATAATGACTATTTTGAAAAGTATTTTTTTTATTATTTCTAATCATATTATTTTTTGATGTTTTATACACATATATATTTGATGTTCTAGTTTCTATAAAAACGACAATGGTAACTACTGAAATTAAACATAAGGAATAAATAAACTCCTAAGACATCTTTCTGGGCCAAAAATGCACATTAAAAAAATTTGGCAGTTAATGGGTTAATCAACAACTTAAATATTCACAAGCTGGATATATGGAAAAACATACAAAATATTCATTTATATCTATTCGATAAAACACAATGTGACTTTACAGATTTATCATTCACACAGCATGATCTCACCTTTTAAGTAATGAGCTATTGTACATTGTTACCATAATAATGGGATATCTCATCAGTAATTAAAAGAGTTCAAATTGCTTTTCATTACTTCTTGTTTCCTGTTTAGGCTTCAGTTTCCGGTTCCTTCTAAAGCTTTTTATATTCTCTTTCACTCCCAGTAGCCCCCTGCATCTTAATGGTATCGTCACTTTACTTAACAAAAAGTATACTTTTGTCCATTTTAAAAATGTGTCACACTGGGGTTAAAGTGGAAAAATAAATTACATAAGAAAGTTAAAAAGTTGAAGCGACATGGAACATGCTAAACTCAACAACTACTTTATTCAAAGTTGCCACTTGATCTGTTTGCTCCCAGCATTCACTTGTGGGACCGGAAATGCTTACAATCATCATCACTGTAATCAACTGCTGTAAACTAGGGAAAGTTACCGAATAGAATAATCAAAGGTTGGTAATGAATGATAATACTTAGGACAAGAACAACACATATAAGATTCACCAGTGGCACACAGAATTAGTAGTCAACTGCTAGAAGTGAGTTGAGTGAATTTCACAACGAATCTCCAACTGTCAACCAACATACAGTATTTACTATTGTATTTATGTGAATGGGGACATACCCATTATCGTCCATAGGTATGCTACAACATCAACATTATTGTTGTTATAAACATCCGTCTTTCTAAAGTAATTTATTTTCTTTCTTAATTTATTTCTAACTTTTCAAAATTACAAAATAAATAATTAGAAATCAAAGTTTGCTTTGGTTACAGTCAAAGGACAATAAATTCACTCACTCTGTAAAATCAAACAAATATTTTGGAGTATGTATTATACTGGGCTTAGGGTGGAAAGATAAATTATATGAGACTGGCTTTTGAAAAAGATGACACAAGACTCGCTAAACTCAACAACTATTTTCTTCAAAACTATCACTTGATCAGTTTGCTCCCGGCATTCCTGAGTGGGACCCAAAGTGCTTACAATCATCATGATAATCATCATCATCATCAACATTTCCATTGTTATATACTGTATGAATGCAAAGACAATAACAAAAACAAAAAAAAAATGTCACTCAAATATGAAACACCAGAAGCAGAGAAATTTCTACCTTAATGGCTTCTGCATCCAACTCAACCTTTTCTTCATTCAATTCCGAAGGAAGTTGAAATGGTTTGTTGTAGACATTCTTATAAAGTCGAGGTAATTCAACCATCCTGTTGATTTCACTCAATGAATCACTAACACAAACTGTTGGAATTAAAGAAACAAATTTCCCTTTGAATGTTTGTCAAGCAATTAGACTTGGCATCATTACAATAATTAATATTTTTAATGTAAATTGTTGATATGACCTACAATATCACAGGTACAGGTGATAAAACAAAAGCATTAAAAATTTTATTTATTCAAATAAATACAAGGATATTGACACAGCAAGTGCATAAAATGCACAAAATTGAAAAAAAGTTGTGTTTTAGTAATTAATACAGGTCTAGTCTCTCTCTATATATATATATTAAGGTAAATTAGAACTGATAGAGTACAATTTCATTCATACAATTAGTTTAAATTCTTTTTAGGTCAAAAAAAGGTAAAACCCACAAACCTTATAAGGTTTTTTTTTCCTAAAAAGGTTTTTGCTTTATCAAATAAATCAAATAGTAATTTACAATCACCTGATAAGATAAACTTAAACAAAAACACAACTGAATTGTGTTGAAATTATATGTTTTTTGTTAATATCCTAAAACATTTATATATATATATATATATATATATATATATATATAGTAGAGGCCATAATATAAGGAACAGAAACAACAAAGACATAAATATGTGTATTAAAAAGTAATGCATGTTTAGCAATGAAATTTTTACCGAATAAAGATTAGGGTGTAATGCATAAATATTATACAAAGTTACAAAAATTTACATAATAGTTTTTTTTTTTAAATAAAGATTAAATGGAACAAAGGAAATAAGCTACTGGACAAAAGTTAAGGAACGATGTTAATAATTTGCATAAACTTTTAATTTACATTGTTAAAAACCTCGATGGAGCTTTTCAACAATAAGTAAAAGTTCATTTATCATTAGGACTTTATTTTTAAGCAATGGCAAATTCTAGATGCAAAACGCTCTCTTTTGAAGAAAAAAAACTCATTATCGCTAACTATCAAGAAAAAAAGTAAATTTCAGAAATTTCTTACATTGTTCATAGGTCTAAGTGTCATTCATTGTGTAATTAGCAGGTATAAAGCCGATAAAATGTTAGATGCAAAACCAAAAACCGGCAGACCTCCAAAAACATTGCAAAGAGAAGATCGAAGAATTGTTAGAACATCTACAAAAAAACGTTTTGAAACTGCTACATCAATTACCTGTAAATTTAATGAAGAGACAGATGAGATCTCAAGGAAAATGGTTGCTCGCAGGTTAAAAAATGCAGGATTGTATGCCCGTATTCCAGCTTCGAAGCCTCTCATTCCAAAGCAAAACCAAAGGTCACACCTGGAGTATGCGAGAGAACATGTTGTTTGGACTGACACACAATGGGATACAGTTCATTTCAGTGACGAGTCCAAGTTTACTATATTTGGTTCTGAGGGCAAAACTAACGTACGCCGTAGAACAGGTGAAAGACTGTCTTCTCAATGTGTCAAGAAAACTGTTAAGTTTGGTGGCGGCAGTGTGATGGTGTGGGAAATGATTTCATCTGCAGGAGTTGGCCCTATCATCCACGTACATGGCAATATCAATGCTGAGATTTACAAAAGGCTTCTTCAGCAGCATGTGGTACCAAGATTACACCATAATCTTTATGAATCTCCTATTTTCATGCAGTACAATGCACCTTGCCACAAGGCTCAGAACGTTTTTTGAAGAAGGAATCGTCCTAATAAAGTTGCCAGCCCAGTTCCCTGACCTGAATCCAATAGAAAATGTTTGGAAGATAATTGGAGAAAGGGCTCAGAAAAGAAACCCGAAAAACCAGGATCACCTATGGGAGTTATTGAAAGACGAATGGGGGGAATTACTGCTGATTTTTGCAAGATATTAATTAGATCATGTGGTCGACGATGCAGAGAAGTCATTGAAAATAAGGGGATGTTTACCAAATATTAAATTTTGTTGATATTTTGTTCACAATCAAATATTAACAAGATCGTTCCTTAACTTTTGTCCAGTAGCTTATTTCCTTTGTTCCATTTAATCTTTATTTAAAAATAAAAATATTATGTAAATTTTTGTAACTTTGTATAATATTTATGCATTAGACCCTAATCTTTATTTGGTAAAAATTTTATTGCTAATCATGCATTCGCTATTATATCCAGGAGGATCTGTTGACAGTGGCTCTCAGGAGTTCCGGAATTGTCACATCAGTTGACTCTTTAATGTTGTCTGATGAGCTTTTGTGTTGCTGTAACCACTCGTGTCTACCTTCAACAGTGCCTTGCATGATGGTCTTGCTGAGGTTATTATATCGGGTGATTGGCCTAACCATAACATCTTCTGATGCTTAATAGTGATGAGGAGAGATTCCTGTCAGCCCACAAAGTATTTGACCTTGCTCTGTACATAGCCATTGGTTTTGTGCTTGCAGTAGGAGATGCTGGAGATCTTTATTCAAGCATTTGTTCTCAAATGCCTGGACCCTTTTTCCTGGCAGGAGTGTCCATGTCTCCCACTCATAGAGGAGGATAAATAACATTGATTTGTAGACCTTGAACTTGGTATGGAAGCTGATGGTACTCTTCCATATCCTTTCCACATTGCTGTGGTGATCCATATCCAGATTTCTGTGTTACAGGTGCCATCTTTTGAGAGGGTTAGTCCCAAGTATTTTAAGCAGAACACTTCTTCCAGCGTTTCACCATCAATGGTGATGCTGTCACTAACAAATGTGTCTTTTTTACAGATCTTAACTCCAAAGTTTATTTCAATTACTCATCTCAGGAAAATGACTATGATCTTATTATTATTATTATTATAATACTAATTTTCTGTTTTAAATTTTCTTTAATTCTATTTCAGGTTTTAGGGAATTCTGTTTTATAGAAATCCGTTCCCCCTCCATTTTCTGTTAGATTTCTGTTTTTGCTTCATTAAAATTCTTAAAGAGAAAGTGTAACAATACAAATGTTATTAAAAAAAAAAAAAAAAAAAAAAACGGAAAATAAAAGGAAAATGAAAAATTTTACTTGCTGGAATATCCACCGATTGGATAAGTTGCTCCAGTTTTGTATCCTCATACTTCTGCCCTTAATCTGACTTGATGAGTTTCTGGGACAATATTTGAAAAGAATGCTACAATCCTAGGAATAAGAATGAAGTGAAAGTGGCAAAACCTACAGAAAAATGGCACCACAAAGATATCTAGAGACAAAAGCTACATTATTGTTTTGCCACTTTATGGAAATTATTAAATAACATTTTTTTTTTAAAGAGTCTAATTTGTAAAATTTGGCTTTCTGAAATAACAAATTATCACCTGTCTCAGTCAGCATATGTGATAGAAAATTATTAAATCAAGCAAATTTCATAAAACTTGGTTCCTAAATACAGTAAATGGCATAGAGACAGTAAGTAAGGGGGATGTATTTAAACATTACCGGCTTCATTCTTTGATGTCAGTCAGATGAAAGGGTTAGGAAAGGCAAACAGAGTAGAGTTGGTCAGTTTGGCAATTTATGCTTCAGTATCGGTTTCCAGTTTTGATTTCCTTGATGCCATGATTTTTAATTCAGTTTTACGGTTTTAATTTAGTATTTTTGCTTTCTAAAGAAGCCATTCATTTTCTTGTGTAATGATAGCATTTCTAGTCGATATGTGATTTCATTTGAGATTGATAAATTTGCAACTTAGTCCATTCAACTCACAATTTCTCATGTATTTCTGGTCAATCTTAAAAATATTTATATGGCTAGAAAGAAAATAAAATGTTTTGAAATATGTAATTTGTATGTGCTTTTATTCATTGAATTATTTTTTACGGCGAGTTAATGTATTTTTTCAGTGAGTAAATGGTATTTTGATTTGAACAGCTGAAAATGCAAAATGAATTTTTTCAAGACTAAATTTTACACGTTACTTTGTTTCACAAAATCAAAGTGACCAATCTTTATAAATATTCTTGAAATTGTACACTCAATTAGAAGACAACTTAAACTACAACCAGGAAGATGTTCAGTTCTTCTTTGACCCGAGGAAGCAAATTCCTTCAAAAATTATAAAGCAAGCAAAAAAATAAACGGCAATTCTTTTTCGTACACCAATCATCTACTATTGGGGCTTTGCAAATAAATTTCTTCTAAACAAGGAAAATCAATGAGTTATTTTCCCCTAAATAAATTTTTTTTTTATCTAGCAAATACATCTAAAATTAAATATTAAAAATAATTAAAAGCTTTTAATTTGATTTTTACATTTCCAAATCTGTGAGTAGCACCTGTTCTTTTTTAGATACACATTTTAAAACTGAAATTAAAAACTATTTTAATCATTTTAATATAATCTTAAGTGTATTATTCACCACATACAACCATAAAGATATTTGTAAAAATAAAATGAATTAATTTTCCTTGTTTAGAAGAATTTTATAGCAGAACAGTAACAAACCCAAACACCCACCTAACACTAGTGACTAAAAAAGAATCATTTTTACTTTGGGTTTAAAAAAAACGACTTGCAGTTTTGAAAATATACACATTTTAAAACTGAAATTAAAACTTACTTTATCTATTTGATATCTAATTTTAGGTGTATTTGCTAGATATAAATAATTTTATTTGTAGAAAACAAACACTCAGATATCTGGAAATATACACATCTTAAAAGTGAAATTAAGAACTATTTTAATTATTCTTAATATCTAATTTAGGTCCATACTCTAAATTAAAAACAAATTTATTTATAAAAAAAATATTCATTTTTATTGTTTACAACTTTATTTCATCAGTGTTGTAACGGCTTCTAAGAAAACCCTTACAAAAAATCCAACTTCATAAAATTTAACATTAAGACGAACATGGCAACTATTTTTTTTTTATTTTTTACTCGCTATTTTCTTGTTAACTTAATTTTACAACAAATTTTTTTTTTTTTTTGAAAAACTGAAACAAATAGATTTCACTTTCAGACATCATGTCATATTTCTTCTTTTTTTTTTCTTCTTCATTTCTTTTGTAAACAGATTTCATATTTATTTCC